CTGTTTCAAGCATTTTTAGGTCTCTATCAGCATACAATAAGTTAGTATCATCAGCAAAAAGAAAGAATTTGAAAATCTCAGATGATTCACAAATATCATTGATGTAGATCAAAAAGAGTAGAGGTCCAAGAACTGAGCCTTGGGGTACTCCACACAAGGTAGTTTCTTTGTTAGATACACAGTTTCCAACTGAAGTAGTTTGCGTGCGATTTTTAAGATAAGAAGAAAACCAGTTATTGATTACTCCTCTAATACCATAATAATCTAGCTTACCCAACAGAATATCATGATCAACCGTGTCAAATGCCTTTTTTAGGTCAATAAATACAGGTATACCACAGGAGTACATTTTTCTATCCATATTATCTTGAATTTTGTTAATAATATCAAGAATAGCATGTTGGGTTGAATGTTGTTTACGAAAACCATATTGTGAATCACAGAAAAATTCTTTCTTAACTAGATAACTTTGTAAGCGTTTATACATAATTTTTTCAAAAATTTTATTGAATGAGGATAGAAGAGATATTGGGCGATAATTATTTGGGTCAGTTTCGTCATCAGATTTGTAAATTGGTATAATTTTTGCAATTTTAAGTTTGCTAGGATATATTCCAGTTTCAATGGAGCAATTAAAGATATCTGCTAAAGGCTTGCTAATAACATGTTGGGGCACTTTTTAAGATTCGATAAGGGCACGAATACAGGCCTTCAGCCTTTTTGGCAGGTAATGTTATAATTTCAAGTTCAATATCTCGAGCTGTTACTGGGATAAAAGCAAAAGACCCTTGTTGTTGGGAAGCATTGGCGGAATTGTACATGATTTGGTCAGGAAGATATGTTGAATAATGTTTTTCAGAATGAGGTATTTTTGCAGCTAATCGTTGACCACAAGAAGCGAAATGATGGTTTATTATGTTTGATATCTTTGTGGGATCAAATGTTAATTGGGCATTTGAATCTTGTCGAACTGCATTGATATTCTTTTTAGTTTTGCTATTGCGCCCTAGTATTTCCCTTATTCCTTCCCACTTTTTACTCATGTTATTGTAATAGGAGTTAAAATAATCACAGTAATACAACTTTTTACTTGACCGAATTAAAGTTACAAAATAGTTACGATATAATTTGTATTTTGTGTTATTATTAGAGTGAAATAACTTATTCTTAATCTTTATTGATCGTCTTATCCCTTTCGTTATCCATGGTTTGATTGATTGTTTCAGTTTACGTTTTGAAATAGTTTTAAGCGGTGCATGTTTATTTAGAGTTTTGTTTAATTTATTAAAGAAAGTCGAAAATGCCTTGTTTGGGTTATCGGATGAATTCATTAAAATCGACTCCCAGTCTATTTCTGAGAGCTCGTTATTAAACAAAGTTTCGGAAAATTGTGAATAGTCACGATATTTGTGTTTAAAAATATTCTGCCTCACGCTAGCTATCGAATCTAAAATACAAAATTGTGAAAAGTGGTCACTCACATCAGATATTATATTCCCACTAGCTAATATATTATCAGGGTTATTGATAAATATGTTATCAATTAGCGTGGATGAATTTCTGTGGACACGTGTAGGCTTATCAATGCTAGGGATCATCGAGCAACTTTGTAAAGATAGCATAAAATTATGTGCATAGTTGCATTGGTCAATTTTTAAAAGATCTATGTTGAAGTCACCCATGATAACCACATGCTTGCCTTTTGAGGTATAATATTCTAATTTTTGTTCAAAGTATGTTTGAAACGCCTCAGGCAAATTATGCTGCCTGTATATAACTGAGCATATGATATTTCTTTTCTTTGGAATATCAATTTCAATCCAAAGTGCTTGGTAAGCTATGTTAATTGCCTTTTCAATGACCACATAATTAAATCGATTATTAATATACATTCCAACACCTCCAGCAGCAAGAGGCGTTGGTACAAATTCAAATGAATATCCAGTAATATTATAGTTGAAATCATTAAAATTGTTTTGTTTGATACGCGTTTCTGTAATGCCTATTACACTAAATGAAAAATCAAGCTCATCCAATATTTGAGTTTGCAAATGTTCTAAGTTTCTGCGCAGACTACATACATTATTGTGAAAAAAAGAAAAACGCCTATCACTTGAGCCGTATGGATCCTTTTCAATTTTAGTAAAGCTCTCTGGAGAATAATATTTACATTTAATACGGTTGCTCATTGCATTTCGATCCGGATTAATATCAGCGTCTGTTTCAATATTAAGATTGAATACGTCTAGATCATACAGGCTAGTAAGTTTGTTCAAATACCTTTCACTGGTACAGTGATCGATAAAAACATCATCACTATATACACCATAGAAAGGTAATTGAGCCAGGATAGTTCTATTAATATGGATTTCTGTTCTACTCATCATTTAAAATTCAAAGAAAAATTAAGTACTTAGCTGAGGTATTGTTAACAGATTATCTTAATGACTCCTGTTCAATTAGGTTGGTCAGGTCTTGCAGTGTTTTTATACGGATTACTCCAGTGTTCTCTGATTTTCTTAAATAAACTTGACTGTTTCTTGCCCAGCAGAACTTATAACCCTTGCTCGTTTTATACCTTTTTGTTTCATACAGAAGGTTTTGTAGGCGTGGTGTCAAATGGTCAAACATGCTAATTCGTGTAGTTGAAGGATAGGCCAATTCAATACCAAGCTGATCGGGCGTGATATTATCTAATGCATGTTTCCGGGCCGCCATAATCTTTTCTTTAGCTAGTCGACGGACAAATTTACATATAATTGGGTTGGAATTTTGTGAAGGTCTTCTAGATTGGACACGATGTGCAATGTCTATGTCCTGTAAAGATACATCAGTTACGCCCATAGCCGTAAACAGCTTGATACAAAGATTTGCTGTAGTTTCAGCCGATTCTTTCTCGTTTAATTGCGGTACGCCCATGATCTTAATGTTGTATTGGTAGCTATATTGTTCGGCCAGTTCGATGGCCTCAGTAATCTCATCACATTTTTTACTGATTGAATCCAATTTTTTTGTGATCTGTTGAATATCTTGCGTCGCTTGCTTACGGAATACTTCTAGATCATCATATTGTTTGCTCATAAAGACAACAGCCTCTGCTCGTTCCTCAGAGTTGGTTCGTTCGATCGTATCTTTTGCCTGTTTCGCTTCAGCGGTTCTGCTTGACTTTGATGCTGCAGTAGCTTGTTGTGTTTTCAAATCTTCGCTTATCTTGTCTAGTTGGTTCTTTAACCCTTCGATCTCCGATCGTAGGAGTTCGTTTTCTTCCCTTAGTTTCTTTGTAGCCATAATTAAGCTATTAGGAATATAATCAAGGGAGCTCTAAAATTCGTGACCGGTCAGCTCGACGGTCAAATACATCAAAGGCCGAAATGTGAACTTCCTTCATGAAAACCGGCTCGAGAAGGGTCTAGTTTGAAAATTTAGCTATTAATTTCGTTTTCATGAGCATATTTTGGTTACACGTTAAATATTTTTGTACTCGATGAGATTCAAAATTTGTTGTATATTCAAGTCCGGCTTTAGTGTAATTTTGGTGATGACCGGAACAGAAATAAAGATATTTTAAAAACTGGCCGTGGCCTCACGATAAAACTTTCTAAAAATGTTCTCTGTTTCATGTATTTTTATTTGATATCTTAGGTATAAGCGTAAAAATAGGGGCTCATACAGTTTACGAGGTTGTAAAATGCATTACTTGCCTCTATTACCATGTAAATATTCGAAATTTTTCGACGGCAAAGTAGCAACTGTTTCAGATCGAATGCACACAGACAGCCCACCAGAGACAATGGCAGGGTACTGAAATAGAACGTCACTAAAAAATTCTGTATGATTAATTTAGATCATGTCCATTTTCAACATAAAACAGTCATTTATTTTGTACAAACATTTGGCAATATTTACACGATTGTGCCTTTTTGTAAACACGCGTTGCGTGTATTCCACTCAATTGAGTGACTCATATTGCTCGCGCATGCTCAGACAAATTTCCCACCTGTTCATCAGGGGCCGGTTGTATAAAAACGTAATTAGCGCTAACTGTAGTTATCGTTAATCACTGTAGTTAAATCCTTAACTGTAATTAGTTAACTACATGGCTTAACTGCGTTGCACAAAACGTAGTTAGTCGGATAGTCAACTAATCACGTAGTTAACTGTGCGTGTGGCTTGCGTGGGGCGTTTAAACACAAAATTACATAAAGTAAGCAGCGAATAACGACCGCTGACACCCATTTTCAACATGATTGTGGACTCGTATTTTGCAAATAGGCGGGAATTTTATTCAAAACACTAGAAAACAGTGAAAAATATACAAGAAAACAAGGAAAAACCGCCACAAAAATCATAAAAGAATGCAGTTTTTCCTTGAGATGCCTACGTTAAACCAAGGTATAGCTGTTTGGCAATTATATATCAGTGTTTCTTGGTGTAATGGACCATAGTTCGTCTTCGAGAAATCGTCCTGTGCAAAAATATGTTCTGTTTTCGTAAAAAACAGCAAAGCGATAGCATTTGAAGAGTTTATATTGTCAGGAAACATTCACATGGAAGATAGCGATTGAAAATCTCAGGTAACCGTTGCTTTTCATTGTTGTTTTACTGAAAAATGTTGTTCACTCGTATACAATTACCGCCATTTTTAACTACGTTTTGGACAGTTAACTATACCCTAAAGCATAGTTAACTTTAACTACTTTTTAACTGCAGTTAAGGCTAACTACACTTTTATACAACCGGCTTAACTACGTGATTAAAGTTAACCACTTTTTAACTACTATTTAACTGCAGTTAGCGCTAACTACGTTTTTATACAACCAGCCCCTGAGGTTTATTGGGCGATCATCAATTCTTCCCATTGGTCTTTGACAAAGGCTGTTACGGATGCAGATTTGCCACTTCTGATCCAATGTCTTTTAGAAAACGAAATCCTGTTATCACGAAAGTACGAGATAGACCAGTTGAGTGAAGGATTAGCTTTTCTGGGATTGCTGGACATAATGAAAAAAAATGCAGATCTTTGTTTCAGTCTATTCTGTTTCAGTGATGACACAGCTCTTACAGCAGAAAGATTTATCAGTCTCATTGACAGCAAAGTCGAGGTTCCAACGGAATTTTCTAAGAAGCAGTCGTATGATTGGTTCATTCAGTATGTTCAGAGTGCAAGTGCTGAGCAACTGCAGTGCTTACTAAAGTTTGCAACATCTTTCAAAACAATCCCTCCTTATGGTATGGAACATAAAATTACCATAAAGTATCTCCCGGATGATGATACAGCAAGTTTACCGAAATCACTAGCTTGTTTAGCAATCTTGAGTCTTCCAACAGTACATTCCAGCCACAAGAAACTCAACGAAAGCATAGATGTTGCTTTGAAAGTCGAAAGCGAAGGTTTCGGGAGCTCCTAAACAACTAAGGTAATAAAAACCATATACTGTTAAGGTGAATTACTGTATCCTCTGCAGGGGCTGTCTCCATAAGACACACAAATAGGTCTCCTGTTTAAAGAGTACATGACTCAAACACTTGGATTCCACATGTTACGCCATTACATTTTCAGGCCATTACTTCCTAATTGTTTCTGGTTTTTCGATTTGATATTATGTTAATATACCTAAGACTCTTAGTAGTAGATATACTATAATAAGGTATTACCACTTTGTTTAGTTCATTAACACAGAGGGATGTGTTACGTTGCAGGTACATGCTGAATGCAGGGACAAATCCCATGATGTATGTTTTGCAAAATGTCGCAAAAAATAAAAACCTGTTTGATTTCATGAAATGTCGCAGGACAAAAATTTGGCTTCGCGAAAAAGTTCTATATGGGATACACGATAAAATTTGTCCTGCAGCAAATTTTCCTGGAACATGTCCCTCAGTGACGAATCTTTAGGTGTTAGTTTTCACGATGTTGTGTCCTGGTTGATATTGTTGTGTTAATTAAGAGGTTAAAAAATGTTGCCCGACCCAAGACTATTTTAAACAGCTATTTAAGCTGCTCTTTCTCATCAAGAAATTAAAAAAACGGTTGTTTAGTGCAGTGGCCAGCCAAAGTATGTGTTACCTTATTATTTTGCTGAAAGAATTCCTTATAGTACACCCCTAAAATTCTATTCGAACTATTTTAATTGTTTTCTTTTGATTGATACTGGTCAAAATGACTTTATCATGTGCTAATTAACAGTTATTCTGCGAACTCGAGTCGAATATTAGCTGATAGCTGATGAGGCGCGTAGCGCCGAATCGGCTATCGCTCATATTCGACGAGAGTGAGTGGAATAACTGTTTTATTATATACACAAGGTCTGAATTCACAGACTTTGCTTTTCGGATATTTTCAATATTTTTCTATTTTGTTTATGTTTTTATCTTCGCTCTTTCGGCCGATTATTTCTTCAAAAATATATATTTTTAACCATTTTAAATTTTAAAAATTCATTTGCTAACCTGTAAACAATTTTTGGGAGTTTTTTCATTGTGTTTTTAATCCTGTGAAGGCTATAAAAAGCGATAACTTGCCGTTTTCTCGTTTGCAAAACATTGTAAATATATATATATATATATATATATATATATATATATATATATATATATATATATATATATATATATATATATATATATATATATATATATATATATATATATGTATATATATGTATATATATTTAACAATTATTCGCCGAAGGCGAAGTGATTACCGGTGAATATTCACCGAGACGAAGTCGAGGTGAATATTCACCGTAATCACTGAGCCTGAGGCGAATAATTGGTTTAGTATAAATTTTTAATGAATAAAACAAAATATCCAAGTTATCCAACTATAAGTTTAATTAAAATTCAGAAATAAAACTGTTTTCGACCGGTTTACGGTTTAGTGTTTCAGTGTTTCTTGTACACGCACGCTTTCAAAATGGCTTCCTGTGCGACTTTATTCGATTTCTGCTTAGAATATAAACACAATGATGGAATGACTTTTTTACCAGACTTAGAATTAAAAAATAGTTTCTGTTTAGCATTATTAAATTTGTTCAGGAAATGGCTGAGAAATTTGGTAAAATGAAATGTAAAACTATATCGTTCGAATTAATATAAAAGTCTTAATACACTTTTCACTTTACAAGTTTTAAAAACACAAATAGTACAATACAGCGAAAGGACACCATACAGCA